ACGTGGTAACTCTCTTGGAAACATGCCCATCTTTTAATAATTCATTTAACTTATTAAATAATTTGAATAAAATTTTTTAAGGGTGGCAACAATCTTCAAATATTTCCAAGTTCAAACTAAAGATTCCTTGAAAATGTCTTGTTTGTTTTCAGACGTGGCAATATTTCCGTCTTTCGCACGCAATTCGCTGTCAAATTGAGAAAGAGAAATTTTATTTCGACGTGTGAACAGCCAGAAAGATCTTTCTGTCACTTTTCGGAAATCAGTTTCAGCAATAAAAGTTGGAAGGTGTGACTGCAACTGAAAGAACGAAAATCGATTTCGGAAATATGTGTATTTCAACTTGCTCGTGCTGTACTAGCAGTTTTTATTACAACCTATATTTTGGGGTTTTGATTGTTGCTTATTTTTGGGTTTACGGGATTGCGAGCATTGTTGGTGCTGGCTTGAATTATAAGAGTATCCAGCTATTTATAATTTCACCATGGGGTAATGATCATTCATCAACGTTGTTTAGTATGGGTTGTTTGCTCCGCGCTCCAAAATTTTCTTACCCAAACAGACCGGCGTGTACGCGAATCATCCACTTCTATTTTTTTAATAATAATGTAATAATAATTTTTAATAAAATTGCTTTCTTTTTCAACAGCAGCTTACGTCGAGTATTCATTTTTCGTGTTTTCGTTCTCGCTTTTACAAGAGAAATAGAAAACAAACGGCAACCCCTCCGCCCATGGTTGCATTTTAGTATCGAGAAGGATTGCCAGAAACTCATTCGCTGTGTGAACAGCCAGAAAGCGATTTCAGAAATTTTTCCTGCAATTCGCCTTTCGGAAATAAAGAACCTGGCTAACTTCCAAAACGTCAATTGCTTTGCATACGTACAAAGTATAAGGTTCCATAACGTCGAACTACAAAATATTGACAATGTATACTGTTCCAAAACGCAGCCGAAAAGTTATCGAAACGCATCGCTGGAGCAATCAGCGCATCAGAAACAAAGTTGATGCTTCGTTTGTTATTGGTTAGCATTGGTGTTTTGGAAATGGAAAATTCAGAAAAATTGGTCATTGCTATATTGAATATTTAAAATATTCAATGCATATGGTGCAATGTGTCGCAACTCTGCATATACAAACAGTTTGAATACCGCAGTATAACAGTTTCCAAACATTGTATTGATACGTTTTGGAAGTCAGCCCCTCTTTCGAAAGACACTTTGCATGCAAGGTGTAACTGCTCATGCAACTGCTTTCTCAATCTGACAGCCTTTTCGAAATATATTGAATCGAAATATATTGCCACGTCTGACACGCTCTTTACCCATATTATAATATTTCATATAATTTTCGGATAAGTTAACAAAATTCGACTTTAAAAAGATTGCACCGCTCTCCGAAATATTTCCAAGTATTACGTTCTTACGTCTGTCACCCATATTGTAGTAAATATTTCAGTTAACTTATAGCAAATTGAATTTGAGTTTTTTAAACAGGGGGCAACGCTCCTACATGTATTAAATAATTTGAATGAATTTTTTCAGCAGGCGGCAACTTGAAAAAAGAAAATCTTATTGCACATCTACATTTTGACATCTCGATTTTGAAAATCAAACGAACGGTGCAGATCTGATGCCCTGGACAAAAAATTGCTTCGCGTATTAAATATATAGATTATAAAAAATATATATAAATAGGTGGCAACCTTCGTTTAGATACCTCTGTTTGAAAGCTATTTCAGTCCTCTTTCATTTTGTACGAAATTTGTTTGATTTGGATAAGCAGTTTAGCTGAGATCACACGATTGCCGCAAATGCACCAATCTGGAACAATTTTTATTGTGCTGTATTGGAGCACGATAAAAAAATTGTCCCAATCAAATTCTGTACAGTCACACCGTTGCCTCTTTTTATACAATTTTGATTGTCGCAAGTTGGTGAAAATCAATATAGTGACAATAATTGCCCCAAACTTATCACACGATTGTTCTAGCATGCGGCAATCGTGAAAATAAGATGTTGCGCTGACTTCTAAATTCTGTTTTGTTTTTTGTTGTGTAAAACTGGTGTATTCTTAAAAAAAAAAGAAAATTGCATCTAATTTATATATTTTGGGCTCATTTTATGCATATTTGTTGTTTGAAAGCAAAAACTTGGACCCAATGAAAACTGACGCATTTATTTAGAAGTTTGAGTGTACAGTTTTTTTATTTTTCGCCGATAACTGCAACGTGGTAAATATGTGGAGTTCAAATTACAAGAGTTTTCTTTTTAATTTTGGTTTTCTTTTTAATTTTGCTTTTTTATTAATTAAAGGTAAAAAAAAAATAAATAAAAATTTCAGATTTATACAACAATTATAAACATTTCTTAAACTTTTGATCACAATTCAATGGTTTTTAATTTGGATTTCCAGAAAAGAATTTGTTATGCTGTTTACAAAGTAATTTGCATAGAAGAAAGTGCATAATACCGCCTGCTAAAAAAATTATAAAAAATCGACAGGATTTTTTAGCAATTTCAAACTTGCACCTTATTGTACTAAATTTTAATGAGCTATAAAACTGAATAACAATTTTTTTTTCTAAAAATCGAAATTAAAAACCGTGCAATTGTGTTCAAAAATTTAAGAAATTTATATAATTTTTGTATAAAGCTTGCAATTTATACGGTTTTGTTAGACAATGAGCTATACTTTTATAGAAAAATAATGAACACTAAACAAATAGAAGAAAAATAGTCAAAACTGGTCAAAATGTTGAGGTTCTACCGTTCCGTCTGGGCTGTATTGAACTTTTAAGTTTTTTTTAAATAAATTTATACTGTCATGGCAGTTTGCCAATTGGTGACATAATATATATTTCGTATTCTTCTCGTAAGAGTTTTGCTGTGGTGGTATATATCGCAGCAAAGATTCCGCCATCGGACTTCAAGAAAAATTTTAATTTGAATACAAATTAAATTAAAAGTTATGTTGCTTCCGAAAACAATGATATTCATTTCAGTGATTTTTGGACATAGAAGGAAGCAAAAAAGTAAATTTTAAATAAACCGCCTAAATATTGTTGTGTGTTGTTCACTTCAATTTCCGCACAAGAACACAATAAATATTGCCGCAATTTTGAAATTTTCATTGCCCCATGATTGCCAATCGAGCTATCACACGATTGCCGCAAGTGGGTTGTATTTGATTAGTAAGCACAATATCGGCCTCTATTGCCGCATGAGTCAATTTATTGTGAAATCACACGATTGGGGCATAAAATGAGGCAATAATTGGTGTATTGCGGCAATCGTGGGATCTCTGTTTTTGTTTATTATTAGGAAAGGACTTTTATTTCGAACTTAAAAAATATTTGGCCAAGTTTAACGTTATTGCTGGCCTAAAAAATAAAAGTCCGGGTTGACCGATTATTTTATTTCAAATAAAATAAAAATCCAAAGATAACTTTTTTCTAAGGACTTTTATTATAAAAGTTATAAAAGTCCGAGGGCCTGTGACTTTGCACTTTTTTCTTGTTTTTCGGGTAAAACATGTTTTAAAACTTAAAGTTTTTCTTAAAAAGATTAAGGACCATTCGTCTAGAATCAAAAATGATAGGCACATAAGTTATTTTGACAAAAATTCTTAGATATGTGATAATGTTTTTTTATACCAACAATTCTAATATACAGTCAGTAAAGTTTAGGTACAGCGAATTTTTTAAAATATGGGCAACTATTTTTTAAATATTTTATTTTTCGCCAATTTTTTATAAAAATATGGTTAATTCTACAACAAAACCCCCAAAATACAAAGTTCCAAACCTTGTGCAAAATTAAAGAAAATTCTGCAAAATTTCATTCAAATATTGCACTTTTTATTTACGCTCTCTAGAAAAAAGCTGAGTATGCAGTTTTTTGCCCATTCAATTTTAGTATAATAAAGTGCAAGTATGAGGGAGCTAGGACTTACCAAAAGTGCAATATTTTAATGAAATTTTGCAAAATTTTCTTTAATTTTGCACAAGGTTTGGAACTCAAATTTTTTTGGTTTTTTATTGTAGAATTAACCATATTTTTATAAAAAATTATCGGAAAATAAAATATTAAAAAAATAGTTGCCCGTATTGTCAAAAATTCGCTGTACCTAAACTTTATTGACTGACTGTAGTTACAAATATCGAAATAAGTAGTTATCGATACTTTTAGCCCGATACTTAGTAGGTATCGATACTTTCATTCGATGCTACTTCCAAGTACAGGTATCGATACTTCCATGGTATCGTTTTATCCCTAATAACAATAGCCTACACTGTATTTGACTGAAATTATCCTCCAATTGGTGGTGTGCGTCTTGATGTTATTACACAAAAGAAGGGACTTATACTCAGCCATAGCAGAGACTGCTCGGATTATATTCTCTGAAATTAGATCAAAGAAATTGCATGATAGCGACCGCTGTGGTGTAGTGCTAAGCACTCCGTGCTTCCACTCCGCGGGGCCTGGGTTCAAGCCCTGATCAAAGCAACATCGCAAAAAATGTAGAAAAAAGGTTTTTTCTTAACAGCGGTCGCCCATCGGCAGCCAATGGCAAACCTCCGAGTGTATTTCTGCCATGAAAAACAGCTTATAAAAATATAATCGCCGCTCGGAGCCTGCGTGCAACTGTGGTCCCTCCCCTTTGTGAGACAACACCAAGGCGCAGGCCACAAATCGGAGGAGAAGCTCGGCCAACCACTAACATATCTGTGTTCGTATGGAAAAGTAGCTTATGTCGAAAGGCTGGCTTTAGTATAA